GTGCCGCCAACGCTCTCGACCCCCGCGTCGACTCTGACCGTGACGGCTCCAGGACCGCTGGCAACACCACCGGTACTCACAACACTGGTAACACCTTCGGCACCATTGGCACCCACGACCGCCAGAACCACCCCTTCAGCTCTTCCAACACCCACGGCGCTGGCTCCGGCCACACCGGTGTGACCGGCACCCATGGTGCTCCCACTGGTACCCACGGTCCCCATGACAGCCGTGCTGCCAACACCCTTGACCCCCGTGTCGACTCCGATCGTGATGGCCGTGCTGCCAACCTCGGCCACCACTCCGGCCCTGGCCCCGCTCCCAACACTGCCGGCCCTCACGGCTCCGACATGGCCAACAAGCTTGACCCCCGCGTCGACTCTGACCTTGATGGTAGCAAGACCGTCGGCGGTAACAAGACCTACCAACAGTAAGTAAGTATACATCCTACCTTGCCCGTGGCTGAACATCCTCTTCTTGAGGTCGGCCTGTGGCGTCCCGGTGACACTCAAGCTAACAACTACTCCCAAGACAACCTCACCACACTTCTAACCTCGCCCATAAGGACCCCACCGACGCTGCTCAGGTCCCGCCCTCTGTTCTCCGCAAGAGCATTGGCGAGCCCGTCATTGAGCACGAGGACCACGGTCACCACCGCGAGAGGAGAAACAGCATCAAGACCCACCAGGAGACTTATAGCGGCATCTAATCTGTTGGTGTCTGCTTGTTAAAAAGTTAAACTCCGGCGGGCGTTTTTATGGCTTGATGGCTTTAACGACTTTTACGACTTGTTACTTTTTCCTTTTTAATGATTCGAGGATACCTCTTTCTACTCTTGTACCACCTATACCACATTCCCTTTTTGTAATGGAGGATTGAGGAAAAGTGTGTCGATTACGACTACGAGCTTTTTACATAGGACAGTTACCTCCAAATGAGAATTGTTGCCTTGTATATCTTGTGTGCCCATCGTTCTGATGTGACATTGTGAATTCTTTCTAATACTGTGAGTGCTGTTTCAATGCTTGAATGATTTATTAATATGGTCCATTCTTGGTGTGTGAGTGATGTGGTACCACGTCCGCATATATAGTACGTACACACTAACAGCACACTAACAGCAAGCTCTCAAGCCGTTCGACAACACAATCCCATCCCTGATTCGCTGGGTATGGAATTTACACCGTCCCTCTAAGTCGAAGTGTATCTGCGTAAACCATACGAAACAAATGTCACTGGCACATTGAGATAGTCCCAGGTCGCCGGATCCCTTCTAACCATCTAGACCATCCGAGGTGGTGCCATCCCAATCAAAATACATGCGCCCATAGTCCAACGTACCAGACGTCACTCAGCCAGATTTGTTAACGTAGGATGATATCTGCATATGTCTTTGTGCACACCAGCATCTTTTAAATCAAACCTTACATACCTTTGCTGCGGTTCCATTCTCTGCACATGTGTGTAAGGAAAGGCTGGCCTGTTGTCAAAGCCAACTTGCCTCCGGAAGTACTACACATGCATGTAACTTCTTGGTATAGGACTGATAAATGTGCATGACATACCAAATACCGCATAATTCCGGTGAACGTATTTTGAGGGTTCAAGGCGCAAATGGCCGAATCTACCAGGGTTAAACTAGTAGGGTTAGCTTTAGGATTTGGGTTATGGGAGAGTTTCTTTGGACCCTGAAAATACATTGACCGGAATTCTACGGTAGATTCAAAGCATTGCGTTTGAGAAACCCTGCGCTATGGCCCGAATGGATGCGGCACATTCACATGAATCCTAAAACGTATGTTACCGAGATACGATGACTTACAACTTTATATATTCGTATTTCAGGGGTGAATGTATTCCGAATCACGAGATTATCCAATTACTTGGTAGTTGTTTAGAGAATTGGCAAGAACGGGCCAAAATTCGTCACCGAGTACTCTCCCAGATCTCGGAGGATAAAAAGGGTTTGAACAAGAGCAGCAATTCCACAGTTGCAAAATAACAAGAAGCTGGGTTGAATGATTGAACCAAACCAGTAAATGGGAAAGAACATGTGTAGAAAAAAAAAAGAAGAGACAAAAAACATACAACACCTGGGATTCGCTGGTCGTCACCGACCCAACTACTAGTCAGGCGATTGGTAGCTTATCTATGGGAGAGCGGACGGGATCCCGAGTTTTCTACCATCTATGGTCGTATGTGCTTGTAATGCTTGATTTAGCTGACTATATGGTAATATGCACACGGATGATCATCATGATTGTGGTTGTGGTTGTGGTGATAGTTTTGTAGACCTGACGAGTAATGATGATGGGCTGGTGGCAGTAAAATTTGCAGAATTGGGAGTTTCGTTTTTGAGAGGTCCAGAAAGGATGATAAGAAGGCAGCGGTACTTTCCAGATCCTCGTATATTCCCTGTATTTTCCCCGGGCCTTCAACTTGTGTTCCCAGTGTCCCTGCTCAAGCTACTCAGT